AGTCCGTGTAATTGCTACCATCATCTTTCAACTTTGCTTTCTCAAGGAACGCATTAAAATTCAACGGAACAACAACACGAGCCATCTATCTACAATCAAACATAAAGAAGCAAGATACTATCAGGTACTAAGTTCATGATAAGTTTAAGTTCAATTAATCAAATTACTTAAGAACTCCCACTTAGATAGACATCCCTCTAATCCTCTAAGTGATCACGTGATCCAAATCAACTAAACCATGTCCGATCATCACGTGAGATGGAGTAGTTTCATTGGTGAACATCGCTATGTTGATCATATCTACTATATGATTCACGCTCGACCTTTCGGTCTTCGTGTTCCGAGGCCATATCTATATATGCTTGGCTCGTCAAGTATAACCTGAGTATTCCGCGTGTGCAACTGTTTTGCACCCGTTGTATTTGAACGTAGAGCCTATCACACCCGATCATCACGTGGTGTCTCAGCACGAAGAACTTTCGCAACGGTGCATACTCAGGGAGAACACTTCTTGATAATTTAGTGAGAGATCATCTTATAATGCTACCGTCAATCAAAGCAAGATAAGATACATAAAAGATAAACATCACATGAAATCAATATAAGTGATATGACATGGCCATCATCATCTTGTGCCTGTGATCTCCATCTCCGAAGCACCGTCATGATCACCATCGTCACCGGCGCGACACCTTGATCTCCATCGTAGCATCGTTGTCGTCTCGCCAATCTTATGCTTCCACGACTATCGCTACCGCTTAGTGATAAATTAAAGCATTACATCGCGATTGCATTGCATACAATAAAGCGACAACCATATGTCTCCTGCCAGTTGCCGATAACTCGGTTACAAAACATGATCGTCTCATAAATAAAATTTAGCATCATGTCTTGGCCATATCACATCACAACATGCCCTGCAAAAACAAGTTAGACGTCCTCTACTTTGTTGTTGCAAGTTTTACATGGCTGCTACGGGCTTAAGCAAGAACCAATCTCACCTACGCATCAAAACCACAACGATAGTTTGTCAATTTGACTCCGTTTTAACCTTCGCAAGGACCGGGCGTAGCCACACTCGGTTCAACTAAAGTTGGAGAAACAGTCACCCGCAAGTCACCTATGTGCAAAGCACGTCGGGGAAACCGGTCTCGCGTAAGCGTACGCGTAATGTCGGTCCGGGCCGCTTCATCCAACAATACCGCCGAACCAAAGTATGACATGCTGGTAGGTAGTATGACTTATATCGCCCACAACTCACTTGTGTTCTACTCGTGTATATAACATCAAACCATAAAACCTAGGCTCGGATGCCACTGTTGGGGAACGCAGTAATTTCAAAAAAATTCCTACGCACACGCAAGATCATGGTGATGCATAGCAACGAGAGGGGAGAGTGTTGTCTACGTACCCACGCAGACCGACTGCGGAAGCGTTGACACAACATAGAGGAAGTAGTTGTACGTCTTCCCGATCCAACCGATCCAAGCACCGTTACTCCGGCACCTCTGAGTTCTTAGCACACGTACAGCTCGATGACGTTCCCCGCGCTCCGATCCAGCAAAGCTTCGGGGAAGAGTTTCGTCAGCACAACGGCGTGGTGACGATGATGATGTTCTACCGACGCAGGGCTTCGCCTAAGCACTACAACGATATGACCGAGGTGGAATATGGTGGCAGGGGGCACCACACACGGCTAAGGAACGATCACGTGGATCAACTTGTGTGTCTTGGGGTGCCCCCTGCCCCCGTATATAAAGGAGCAAGGGGAGGAGGCCGGCCGGCCAGGTGTGGCGCGCCAAGGAGGAGTCCTCCTCCTAGTAGGAGTAGGACTCCTACTAGGAGGGGGAAAGAGTTGGAGTGGGAGAAGGAAAGGGGGGGGGCGCCCCCCTCCCCTAGTCCAATTCGGACCAGGGAGGAGGTGGCGCGCGGCCCACCTCTGGCAGCCCCCCTCTCTCTCCACTAAGGCCCATATGGCCCATTACTTCTCCCGGTAGGGTTCCGGTAACCCTCCGGCTCTCCGGTTTTCTCCGAAATCACCCGGAACACTTCCGGTGTCCGAATATAGCCGTCCAATATATCAATCTTCATGTCTCGACCATTTCGAGACTCCTCGTCATGTCCGTGATCACATCCGGGACTCCGAACTAACTTCAATACATCAAAATTCATAAACTCATAATAATTGTCATCGTAACGTTAAGCGTGCGGACCCTACGGTTAGAGAACAATGCAGACATGACTGAGACACATCTCCGGTCAATAACTAATAGCGGGACCTAGATGCCCATATTGGCTCCTACATATTCTACGAAGATCTTTATCGGTCAGACCGCATAACAACATACGTTGTTCCCTTTGTCATCGGTATGTTACTTGCCCGAGATTCGATCGTCGGTATCCAATACCTCGTTCAATCTCATTACCGGCAAGTCTCTTTACTCGTTCCGTAATATATCATCTCGCAACTAACTCATTAGTTGCAATGCTTGCAAGGCTTATGTGATGTGCATTACCGAGAGGGCCCAGAGATACCTCTCCGACAATCGGAGTGACAAATCCTATTCTCGAAATACGCCAACCCAACATCTACCATTGGAGACACCTGTAGAGCTCCTTTATAATCACCCAGTTACGTTGTGACGTTTGGTAGCACACAAAGTGTTCCTCCAGCAAACGGGAGTTGCATAATCTCATAGTCATACGAACATGTATCAGTCATGAAGAAAGCAATAGCAACATACTAAACGATCGGGTGCTAAGCTAATGGAATGGGTCATGTCAATCAGATCATTCAACTAATGATGTGACCTCGTTAATCAAATAACAACACTTTGTTCATGGTTAGGAAACATAACCATCTTTGATTAACGAGCTAGTCAAGTAGAGGCATACTAGTGACACTAAGTTTGTCTATGTATTCACACATGTATTATGTTTCCGGTTAATACAATTCTAGCATGAATAATAAACATTTATCATGATATAAGAAAATAAATAATAACTTTATTATTGCCTCTAGGGCATATTTCCTTCAGTTTTCCTCCTCTACCCCTAGACGGTTAGGGCAAAAATTACACTCCAGACTTCATTGGCGAGGTTGTGGATTCACCATCCCTCTACCTGCCGCTCCGGCGGCGGTAGTGGGGAGGCGAATCCTAATGCCTTCACTCCAGTTAGTAGTTTAGCGTATGATTTTTTAGTCCTCGCAGGCATGGCGCTCAGACGAATGGCAAGACTTCTTCTTGGTTCCCATCCAACTCGAGTGAGCTCCAGCATAGATTCCTGCTGTCTCTTAGGGGCGATGAGGTTACGGTTCCTCGTCATGTAGGGAGATTTGGTGTCACATGCTGCAAATCTATGCAAAGGTTCAACGGCGATGACTGCGGCTCCAGGGCGCTGGTCCTTAAAGGCAAGTGCACGGAAACTTCCTGGCTGTCAAGGTCAAGCCCGCTCCGGTTGAGGAGTGGCGACAACGGTGCGTCGATGGCTCGTTCTGACAAAAGTAGTGGTTTGGTGTTCTCGAAATCTCAATGTAATTTTTACTATGTTTAAAATGCTTTTTTACTTCCAACTTTTATAATAGATTTGATCATTTTCACAAGAAAAAGTGTAACTTTTAATGGGAAAATAATTTGTATTACTCAAATACAGGGTTACATTCAACGCGGCATTGTTCAACGACATCATCAGGTCCAAGACCCCAACCAAACGACAGTGCGTATTTTCTTTGAGGGAAGCGACAATTGTGTTTTTGACATCAACGGAAGTTCGCCAAAAGCTGGAAAAGCTGCAATAGAAATGAAACAAGAAAATGCAGCTATGGGTCCAATTGACCCAGCTTGACATGGTCACATTACATCAAACCTTCCCATATAAAGGACTCCCACCTTTAACGACATGAATCCACGTCAAGTGTTTCACGCGGGGGATACTTTCGGGTTTGACGTGGCGAACATGGCGGTAAGATGCGTACATGACGGTGTTTCAGACGCCCACAAACCTCCCCCTAATTTGTGTCAGGTTTAGAAAAAAAAGCAGACGCGTTCACGGACAAATAAGGGTTCGTGTTCGATGATAAATGACGTCTATCATCAACAAGGTCAGGCCAGCTCCGGTAGAAGAGGCAATAGCGGCACGTTGGCAGCCTGTTCTGATGGCAGTAGTGATCATTCGGTGGTCTCTAAATTTTGATTTTTTTGTTATATTTGAGATGTTTTGTATTTCCGATGAACTTTTGAACTTTTACAATAGATTTGATTGATCCTTTTCACAGAAAAAGGTAATTATTTTTGCCAGAAAATAATTTATATTACTCGAATATCATGGTTAAAATCGTCGAGGCATTGTTTGACGACCTCAGCAAGTCCATGCCCTAACCAAACAACAGTGCGTTTTTCCTTTAGGGGAACGACAACAACAGCGGGGTTTTAACATCTATGAAAATTTGCCAAAAGCCAGAAAAGCCGCAACACAACGGAAACAAGAAAATCCAGCTGTGAATCCAATTGACCCGGCGTCACACAGTCACATCACATCAAACCTTCCCATAAGAAGGCCTTCCACCTTTAACGACAAGTTTCACGCGGGAGATTTTTTGGGTTTACATGGCAGTCAGGTGTGTACATGGCTGCGTTTCAGATGTCCGCAAACCTCCTCCAATTTGTGCCCGGTTTACAAAAAAATAGATACATGTAGACGGAAAAAATAAGGGTTCGTGTTGCATATATAATAAACTACGTCTACACACCTTGTTCCGTAGTATTGCAGACGTTTTTGAGGAGGACGCCCTAACCTTTGCACATCTCATATCACACCTTCCCATAAAAGGATCCCTCGAAAAAGAAAGAAAAGAAGAGGAGATTCGTGACGCGGTGGCAAAGAAAATCCAGCGGTGGATCCAAATTGTCCCAGCGTCACACGGTCACGCCGCATCAAACCTCCCCATAAAAAGGCCCTCCGCCCTCCCTCCCGTCGCCCCCCACCCAATTTCCTAATCCATGGACGCCAAGCCCGGCGCGCCCGTCCACGAGCCGCTGCTCGCGGCGGCGCGGCCCGGCAAGGACGCGGCGGACGACGATGGGGCGCGCCAGGGCCTCGCCGCGGCGGAGGTGAAGCGGCTGGTGCGGCTCGGCGGGCCCATCATCGCCAGCTGCATCCTCCAGAACGTCGTCAACATGGTGTCCGTCATGGTCGTCGGCCACCTCGGCGAGCTGCCCCTCGCCGGCGCCTCCCTCGCCACCTCCCTCGCCAACGTCACCGGCTACAGCCTCCTCGTACGTGCCATTACGCCCCCCTAGTCCCCATCTATTTTATTAATTCTTCCGTGCCCTCGGCTTGGAGACAGCCGGTTGCTGATTGATTAATCTGGTGGGCTGCAGACCGGCATGGCGACGGCGATGGACACGCTCTGCGGCCAGGCCTACGGGGCGCGGCTGTACCACCGGCTCGGCGTCTACAAGCAGCGCGCGATGGTGGTGCTCTCGCTCGCCTGCGTCCCCATCGTCCTCATCTGGGCCAACACCACCAGGATCCTCGTCTCCCTCGGCCAGGACCCGGCCATATCGGCCGTGGCCGGCGAGTATGCGCGGTGGATGATCCCGTCGCTCGTCGTGTACGTGCCGCTGCAGTGCCACATACGGTTCCTGCAGTCGCAGAGCATCGTGCTGCCCGTGACGGCCAGCTCCGGCACCACGGCGCTCTGCCACCCGCTCGTCTGCTGGCTGCTGGTGTACAAGGCCGGCCTGGGGAGCAAGGGCGCCGCGCTCAGCAACGCCGTCTCCTACGGCATCAATCTGGTCATACTGGCTCTGTACGTCAGGCTGTCGAGCACCTGCAAGAACACATGGAGCGGCTTCTCCAGAGAGGCGTTCAGGGAGCTGCGCCAGTTCACCGCGCTCGCCATGCCGTCCGCCATGATGATCTGGTTGGTATATCCCTAAAAAAAAGAGAAATTTTGATTTCCTTTTCTTCTGTGGTATAAACCAATTATTTTCACTTGCAAAAACGTTGGAATAATTACTGCTTGTGCATGTGCAGCTTGGAGTGGTGGTCATTTGAGATCCTTGTGCTTCTCTCTGGGCTTCTGCCGAATCCACAGCTTGAGACATCAGTGCTGTCAATATGGTAAGCACAATGTTCTGATCATGTTCATATCATCTGTGATTTCAGCTTCAAAAATTAAACACGCCTATATATATATATAGCTTGTTCTCTGTACGTAACTTAGTTGCTCCCTTTTGCAGCCTTAACACAGGTGCTCTGTTGTACATGGTGCCGCTTGGCCTTTCTTCTTCTATCAGGTCAGTTGTAATTCTTCAACACAGAAGACCAATTCTGAATCCAATGAGTAACATTATGAAGTCTCATCATATATGTGGTACAGTTTGAATTTTCATAAGTCCAATATATAATCTTGTTTATCTACTCAGCTGATTCTTGCTCTTTGTCTCGTCCGTAGCACGCGCGTCTCAAACGAACTTGGCGCTGGCCACCCAGAAGCAGCAAAGCTAGCGACGCGAGTGGTCATGTACATGGCCTTATCTGTAGGATTGGTGTTAGCCCTGACCATGGTCTTGCTGCGGAATGTTTGGGGGTATCTGTACAGCAATGAGCAGGAAATCGTCACATACATTTCAAGGATGCTGCCCATTCTCGGAATATCTTACTTGATAGATGGACTCCACAGTTCTCTTTCAGGTACATAGTCTTCATTGTTCTATACAGCTACTTCTGAATATATATAATCAGCAATCCATAACAGCAAGAGCTAATTTACACAATTAACACCATATTTTTCACAACTGTAAAGGCGTGCTTACCGGCAGTGGCAAGCAGAACATCGGCGCAGCCGTGAATCTCGGTGCATTCTACCTGCTAGGCATTCCCTTGGCTGCGATGCTTGCATTTGTCTTCCACCTACTCAATTATTTTACCTGTCATTGCATTGAATGGATGTCCTGAAATCTGAAACTGGTGCTTCGACTAGGGTCTCTGGCTTGGCATCGTTTCGGGCAGCTTCACCAAACTGGTGCTGCTCACATTTATCGCGTGGTGCATAGATTGGGAAAAGGAGGTAAATATGGCAGACCTACCAATCACTAGGAGCAGTTTCATTCTTACAGTTTACTCTGAAGACAGGACAATGTAATGTGTTCTCTCTTGTTCATCCGATTCAGGCACTAAAGGCACAGGACAGGGTCTTGGGCTCAGCTCACCTACTTCCAGTAGCGTAGCAACGTGAAGCATCGATCACGTGGATACACTATAGCACTTGCGCGTTGATGAGGCCTTCTTCAGCAAGGACGACGTATGGTCCTCGGATGTAAAACGGAGCAGATCCTCAAACATGAGATCAGCAGGCAGGCAGGCAGGCATGATCCAGACATTTTGGCAGTTGTATGTTTGGTTGGATTCATTCTTGCGGTAAGCGTGTAACTGAGCTCTTGCTATAGGAGACAGTTTGTGGGTAAGCAATGCGCGGCGAAACCATTGTAATCTCCACCCAATTTGATCCAATGATGTTTGTTGTGTGGCATGTTGAGATGCATATCCACTGAGCAGCTTGGGGGGCGTCTGGAACACATAGCAACTGAAACTGAATATGATTGATTTGAAGAACTTGATCAGTTGCAAGCTACTCCCTCCGTTTCTTGTCCCATATATTCAACCTTGTTTTATGCGGCTCCGTAGCATAGCACGGACACCTTACTAGTAACATTGCAGGATGATCTCCAAAGCATAATAAAGCGGAGATCAATTCAGACGTTACCTCCAGGCCTGCAAGATACTCCATGCATTCACTGTTATAACATGTTCTAGAGTAACTTAAACTGATTAGGACGTATATAGACACATTTAGTGTGTTTGTACACTCATTTCAGTCCGTCTATAGTCCATATTGAAATAATCAAAATATCTTACTATATTAATGGCCAGAGGGAGTAAACAAAGACCATGGCAGCACTTCTAACTCGAGCTATTCGAGCTATCAAAATTGGATGACAAGCTGTTCAGACGAAAACTACTCCAGGTAATTAAACAGAGAGATATGTGGCTGCAGGCTGCAGCAGAGCGAATCATGTCTGAAAACTACGAACCACCTTACGTTAACACTGCAAACTTGCTCTGCACACATTAACTTTGTTGAAATCTTGGACACTTGAGGGGAATTAGATAGAATAATTAAGTTTCTAATACTACTAGCACATGTTTTTAATAGAAAGGAACATATCATTCATTAATTTCTTCAACGGAACGAGGCATTGCAACTGTCACAAATCACACACTCATATTAGTAAATTTAGATAGACTGACAGACATCACCATACACAAGTTTCTACTAGAGCATATGCTAGGCGTGACAAGCATAGGGATCCTTAAATCTTGGATCTCTAGCGCCTGCTGCGCTTCAAATTTCTCCCACGGGCAGACTTGAGGAGGTCTGCCAGCACCAAAGGGCAGCTGGCCTCCAGGTGCTTGTACCCCTCCGTCGCCACCAATACCGCATCAAGAACCGCAGTAGTGCTGACAATGAACTCGATGCACTTGGCCTTGAGCTGCGAGCAGTTGTGCTGTTCCGCCAGAGCGAGAGTCGTCGCCGCGGTCTCGACGGTGATGCCATGGGAGAGCTTGCTTTCGCAAATCAGCTTGATCCAACCCGTACCTGTCAGCACCCGCAAGCAGATGCTGGGCCATTGTCGCCACCTGCTCGACCCGTGGATCAAGCTCGGGCACTGTGTCCGTGTAGATGAAGTGCAGCATGGCCCTGAATGCTGACGCCTCCATGTCCTGCACCTCTACACGACGCGAGCGCTTCTCCTTCATTGCTCCAAAGAATTCCGCCATGAACACAGGTGACCTTGAGGCAAGTATTAGCTTGTGCGCAGCGAAGGACTCGCCGGACACGATGAAGGTGACGTCAGCGCCCGTCCCGCTCCGCAGGAGTTCGCGGAGGTGCTGGTGCAAGTTAGTGGGTGGCGGCGGCGCGACCACTTTCTCGTCTGTGATTGTTGGTAGTACTGGTAATTGCCTGAGCACCGTGATGGCGCATTCCACAGCCAAAAATTGTCCCTGAGGTAGCCGGACTCTGCCAGATCGTGCATCTCAATGAGCACTACTGCAGGTGCAGGTGAGTAATCCTGACTCCTGAGGACTCAAGAATTGATGTGACATGCTCTTTTCTTGGGATGGTCCAACCACGCCCCTCTGGTCTATCAACCGGCAGCCTAAAGTCGCCTTCACGGTGTAATTCTTCTTGCTCGTTCCGGGTTCACCGAGGAACGCAAGCTTCACTGCAACCCACCTTGAGCAATAGGCCGGATCCCCTGACGTACGGCCACCTGACGTTGGGCCACTGACGCGTGGGTCCGGGTCCACACGTCAGCGAGTGCGCCGTATGTCAGAGGAGCTGCGTCCGAGCAATAGTCCCAGGACGATTTCCCGTCGACAAATTTGGACTTGGTCGACTTCCGATACAAAGGTTCGTTATACTCATAAGCGATCCCGAACTGCGAGGTTGCAGGATACAGCTGAATTTCCCACTCGTAACCATCGACAATCCATCTGGATTTGATGCAATCGCCACTGGACGTACTCGCGCTGTAGCCGTCGATCTTGAGGACCTGCACCAGGCGCGTGGCATCAGTGAGGTTCGTGCATGCACTAGCCATGGCGAAGGCTGGGCAGCGGGCGCGGTGGATGGTGGATCGAGGGGAAAGACTGGGATGCCGGCGCCGTGAGCTCGTGAGAGAGCTGGTTTTTGCTGGGAGAGATGGAGTACATTTTGATTTTATACTGGGCTGGCGATGTGAACCGGCGACGGCTCGTGGAGAGGGAGAATCCCTAGCGTACCGATGCACGTTGGAAGTTGAAACAAACAAAGTGATCAATCAATACAGAATGCCAACAATCACCGCTCGCATGACCACTTTAGCTACAATTCAGTCAGCTGAAATTTCACTTTTGCGTCAGTCAATTTTGTGACCGTTAGATTTTTCTTTAAGATTTGTGCTGTGTATTGTTTCCTTTTTTTAGGCAATCTCGCGAAGCTTTATTCAACCCGTCACAATGTTTACAGGGACGAAAGAAAGACCTTCCGGATGGCCCAGCCATACATGACGCCCAGGCCCTAACCTTAATGCATGCTTCGCTAGATTGTGAGCCTCCTTATTGGAGCTCCTAAACTCATGAACTATGTTACATGAAATAAAAGAAGGAATAGATAACTTAATTTCCTCTATGATAGCACCATAAGCCGATCCACTCCCAGATTTGATCTCAGCCACCACGCCTTGGCAATCCGACGCTAGATGTATTCGGTGCACATTCAAATCTTGGGCTAACGCCAAACCTTCCCTGATCGCCATTGCTTCGAGGGTAGCCGGATCGCCTTGGTTTGTGAATACTATCGATGATGCACCTGGAAAAGAACCATCATTGCTTCGACAGATCGCCGCGACTGCTCCATGTCGCCCCCCTCTGCCCACTGCAGCATCCACATTAATTTTCATATAGAACTCCGGTGGAGCAAGCCATCCCGTGCCTCTGGTGGTCGCGATCCCTCGATTCATCTTCGTCGGAGTCGAGTCCTGGATCTCTCCCAGATATGTGTTTACAAAGCCATGACAAACGGGCTCTTGAATATATCTTCATATATCGCCTTCCGTCTCGCCCCCCATAACGCCCATAGCGTTGTCGCGCATCTTACGAACTCATCTGACGAAAGAGCTTTCCCCATGGCAAATATCCACTCCTTGGCACTATCCTGTTGATTGAGACTTAGCTGATCCAAGATGATATCAGTTGAAAGCACCCAGGTGCTCCTAGACATAGGACAGTCCAGTAACGCGTGCCTCCATGAGTCATGTACTCCACATAATTTGCAAGATGATGATGTAGACATATTACGCCTATATAACACAGCCGCCGACGGGACATAATTTCTTGCCAGACGCCACAGGAAAACCCTGATTTTCGAGGGAACTTGCACCTTCCACAAAGACTTCCATTCAGCTCCTTCAGCTTCTAAGTTTGATGTGCCCTCCCTGCCTTTGAGCCAAGCCTCTCTGTTTTGTTTGGTTCGCACTAGCATACGGTACACCGAGCTTACCGAAAAGTGACCTCTTGGTTCCTTGCTCCAAGCCCAAAAATCTGAGAGCCGTCTAGTGCATAACGGGATCTGAAGAATTGGTTCTGCATCAAAAGGAGTGAACACCGTACGAACCAGCTGCTCATTCCACACTGCCATCGATGTTTCTATTAGTTCTGCCACACGTCGAGGGGGGTCCGGAACTAGTGAAGTAATGGGCCTTTTGTAACTTTCCCTTGGTATCCAGTTATGAGCCCAGATGTCCGTGTTTTCTCCATCTCCTATCCTTCAAATGATACCTTGCGCTACTACATCTCTCCCATCGAGAATGCCTCTCCAAATTTGTGAAGGACGGGAACCCAATTCTGCCTCCAATAGTGATCGATCAGGAAAATATAAAGCATTCAATATTCTAGCACTCAACGACTCCGGATCATTCAATAGCCTCCAAGCTTGCCTTGCCAAAAGGGACAAGTTAAAAATTTCCATATCTCTAAATCCCATGCCTCCCATATATTTTGGCATTGTCATTGTATCCCACAATACCCAAGCTGGTTTCATTCTTCCGTCCTTACAACCCTACCAGAACTGTCGGATTATTGATGCGACACTCTCACACAGTCCTCTCAGGAGCCTAAAGCAAGACGTAGAATATACTGGGATCGCCTAGGCTACTGATTTTATCAGAACTTCCTTGCCTGCTGCAGACAGTAATTTTCCCATCCATCCTTTTACCTTCTCCCACACTCTGTCCCTCAAATACTTGAAAGTACCATTCTTCGAGTGTCCCACTTCCGTTGGCATGCCCAAGTAACGATCATTTAGAGACTCATTATGCACCTGGATTTTATTCTTCACCCCATCTCTGATTGTTTGAGAGCACCCCTTACTGAAGAATATAGATGATTTTGCATTGTTTACCTTCTGACCCGAAGCCTGACAATAAGTTTCCAACAAGTTTGATATCCTCTCTGCCCCATGCACACTCGCCTTGAAAAGCAACAGGCTGTCATCTGCAAATAATAGATGGTTAACGGCGGGTGCCGTGGGTGCCACCTTAATACCTACCAACAATGACGATCGTGAACTAAATTTCAAGAGGCACGAAAGGCCCTCTGCTGCTATCAAGAAAAGGTAAGGGGAGATGGGATCTC